TAATCCCCTTTCTCACCGAAAATCCGCGGACGAACGCCAAACCCTGCAGACAAGTGCGCAGATAAGTTGCACAGTAATGATGTTTTTGACATTGCACTCTTTATACGTCTCGATTCTGCAATAATGCAATAATAAAGTCTGATTTTTTAATAAAATCATTTCTTGCCATTAATGTTAGCTGATTATTGTATTATTAGTAATTATTTCCCCGGTTTAATCCCCTTTCTCACCGAAAATCCGTGGACGAACGCCAAAACCTCCATTCCCTGCCAGTGGCCAGCCGCCATGTTGAATGTGCGCGGAGGAGTTGCGCAATAGCGAAATTTGGCGTTCCACTTTTTAGAGGTGTAGGCTTCATAATATGCCCTAATAAAGTCTGATTACTTGATAAAATCACTGCCTGCCATCAATATTAACTGATTATTGCACTATTAATACTAATTTCCCGGGTTTAATNCTTGATAAAATCACTGCCTGCCATCAATATTAACTGATTATTGCACTATTAATACTAATTTCCCGGGTTTAATGCCCTTTCTCACCGAAAATCCGGAGACAAACGCCAAACCCTCCATTCTCTCCCAGTGGCCAGCCGCCATGATGATTGTGCGCGGTGGAGTTGCGCAATGGCAAAGTTTAGCATTACACTTTTTACCGGTCTGAGCTCAATAATATGCTCTAATAAAGTCTGATTTCGTGATAAAATCATTCCCGGCACTCAAAATTAACTGATTATTGCACGATTAATAAGTATTTTCCCGGTTTAATCCCCTTTCTCACCGAAAACCGCGGACGAACGCCAAAACCTCCATCCTCTGCCAATGACCCGCCGCCATGGTGAATGTGCGCGGAGGAGTTGCGCAATGGCGAAATTTAGTATTGCACTTTTTACATGTCTGGGCTTAATAATACGCACTAATAAAGTCTGATTTCTTGATAAAATCATTCCCGGCACTCAATATTAACTGATTATTGCACGATTAATAAGTATTTTCCCGGTTTTATCCCTTTTCTCACCGAAAATTCGCGGACGAACGCCAAAACCTCCATCCCCTGCCAGTGGTCAGCCGCCATGATGAATGTGCGCGGAGGAGTTGCGCAATGGCGAAATTTAGCATTGCACTTTTTACATGTCTGGGCTTAATAATACGCACTAATAAAGTCTGATTTCTTGATAAAATCATTCTCGGCACTCAATATTAACTGATTATTGCACGATTAATAAGTATTTTTCCGGTTTTATCCCTTTTCTCACCGAAAATTTGCGGACGAACGCCGAAACCTCCATCCTCTGCCAGTGGCAGGCCGCCATGATGAATATGCACGGAGGAGTTGCGCAGTTGTTATATTTTGAGTCTGGTACTCTTGATGTCAATATCAGAGAGGTATCTGTTAGTAGTGAAATAAATGGCCGTGAATGTAGCACATAATTTCATACTCAGCAAAAAAAAAAAAAAGAGACGCTATGGTGGGATACACTATCCAGTCTATACCGCCATTAATTTATTTGCTTCCTTATGAACAGTCTAAAAATAGTTATTTGTTTGCCTCAATTGGGTAAACTTTTGGCATTTTATACAGAAAAAAATGGCTTCTTTTAATTTCAACGGACATATACTACTGCAATTGAGAAAAAACACTGCTCCAACAATAGTTGTGCTGCAGGCTGATTGGCAATTATTACATCGGTCAGCGGCGACGGGAAAGGGAAATGTAAATGCGATATGGGTAGGTAGGCTCTGGAAGGAGAATAATGGGCAAAGAGCCTCAAATACTTCAGTACATAGACGCGTTCCCGAGTATTAACTACTACACTGTCCGTATCATACCAATAATATTGCTCTCTTTCTCATAAAAAACTTGTATAATCGATTTGTTATACCGTACAGAATACAGAAGGTGCATAGAGTAATCATCAATTGCGTATGCTCATAGCTCTCGATCGGAACATACTGCTATAATCTTGCCAGATCAATAACGTGAGGATGGAAGCTTTGACATACAATCTCCAATGCAATACAAAAATTGCTTCTTGTAATACATCCAATGAACCATCATCATAATATAGACAAAAAGCAACCCTACAACACTACAATACACTGAAAAATTTGACTAATCTATTGGAAGTGTGATAAAACCAAGAACAATGGAGTATGGGCACTCCTCGGCTTCCGTGTTGTTAAATACGTTTGTGATTAAAAAAAAAAGGTGTAGGGTGTATTTTCACCGTGGCACCCTCATCTGGGAAACAGAAAAATCACCTTACAGTGAGTAATTTACATACAAATGGAAGGGAAACCTTCAATTTCAAGTAAATTATTTTCAATATTATTTTATAATTGACTTTGAATTTTTTTTCTTTACTCAATAATTTAGTGGTTTATATTTCATTCAAATCAATTTGCCTCAGTACAATGCGAAGCTTTGAGGGCTGCTTTCCCCACATATTGTACTCTTATATTGTCGAAATTATTTATCCCCTGGTTTGATTTAAGAGTGAAAACCGGTAAACACGTTGCATTGTACGGAAAGTTGATAATTTTTTATTAGTTATACAACGACTAAGTCCGATCATAATTGTAATTATTGCGAATTCACTTGGATAAGCTATTGTTACAATTCAAAAAGTATAACTATGTAATTGAGCTATTCATTATCGAGTCGTGACTTATTGAGTTGCTAGTTTTTCAAGGACATCCCAATAATCTACACCACCCCTCCCGTTCACCTTCACTTACCTGTTGACCTTCACTGCACTTTTCTCCATACCATTAATTTTTTCCTTACATATGAATTCTTTAAAATTCACTTGGATAATTCGTGATTCAAGTATGTATAGGAAGAATTTATTATACGCATAGGTCAGAGAAAGAGGATGATCTATTAAGACCATGAATCGTGGTTTACAGGAGGTATTGTTGGCATGTAATTTTCTGAAAAGTCTATTCATTTTCTATCATCAAATTTTCATATGCTTCTTTCAGCACATATTTTCATGTAATCACTCCTAGTTGGATTAATTTCCTTCTTATTTTCGATGACTGCACAGAATAACGAAAGAAAGAAGAAAAATGGGTAAATTGTCTGAAAATTAAAATTCTTCATTTATTTAAATTTTTCAAATGTAATGAAAGAATAAATAAACAGAAAAAAAACATTAGTTATTTGGCCACTAATGCTTTTTTTAGTATTATATTGGTCTCACATTATTAACTCACAATTCTCACCATTATAGATTTCATTATATCTAGGTATTATTCATTTATTCTACAGTATCTACAGTATATTGCTAGAATACATTACATTGATATAACATGAACAAAAAAATTTTCAATATTTTCATCAGCAAATATGATATTAATTTTCTTAGCTAGATGGACTTTGCCTTTGACTGATGCATTAGCAGTGAACTATGGTGACAATTATATCCCTGAAAGCTGGATAAGAGGGAAAAATAATGCTGCCACTGCTCTTCCATCGTCACCCACTAGTTTCATATTGCATTATGCAGCGCGAGGGCCAAACAATCGATGGAGTCATCATACCGTTGTTATGTACCATACCGATTCAAGACAAGTTGCTTCATGGGTAAAAACTATCAGGAATTATCTTCTGAGTAAGTTTTGAACAATTTACATAATAACTCAGATGAGAATCAAGTTCGAATCGATCAAGGGCAATTAAATAAATCCCATCATCCAACTTGGTAGTAATGAATATGAGTATGAGAAGTGGACAACAACATAGAATAGATATATCTGAGACTGAGAGGATGAGCCTGATCTAAAAAATTTATTGTTTATACATTTCGATTAATGAGGACTACCTCATTTGAATAATGCATAAATATTAATAACAATTTGTAGATATCTCTTGCCGTCCCCGAAAGATTCTTGTATTCGTTAATCCATATGGAGGAAAGAAAAAAGGTGAAAAAATATGGCAGAAAGAAGTTCAACCTCTCATGAGAATAGCGGGGATAGAGACGAAAGCTATTATGACTGAAAGGGCTGGTCATATCAAAGACATTATACTCAATTCAAATTTAGACGGCTTTCAGGTAATAATTCTTAAAATTGAAGAAAAAAAAAATTTAATAAACACAATGTTTAATGAGTTTAACAGTGGAATAAATATTAAATAACAAACAAAATTCAACAGTCCAAGCGTAATAATTATCATTATTTCCAGGCAATCGTTTGTGTTGGCGGTGATGGTACCTTCGCGGAATTGTTCAATGGGCTGGTTTTGAGAACGGCCAACGATCTCCAAGTTGATTCGAATGACTCAAACGTTATCTTACCCCAACCACTAATTCCCGTGGGTATAATACCTAGTGGAAGTACTGACACTCTTGCCTATAGTCTTCATGGAACAACCGATGTCCAAACTTGTGTTATACACATTATTTTCGGCGATACTGCTGGATTAGATCTATCTTCTGTACATGGGAATCACAGTTTACACAGATTATATGCTAGTGTATTGAGTTATGGTTACCTAGGTGATGTTGTTAAAGAGAGTGAAAAATTCAGATGGATGGGTCCTCAAAGATATGATTATTCTGGTAATACTTCTATTAATTTACTTGAAATTACTCCATTCTATTTTATAGCAATTGTAACTATTCTATTATTTTCAGGTTTTAAAAAAATTATTGCTAACAAAGGCTACGAAGGGGAAATTGAGCTGCTCTCTGATCCTTGTCATCCGGCTGCAAGTACTCGATGTATGAAAAATTGTGGTCGATGCATAAGTCATGCGTGTGATGATGAAAAAAGAAACCATGAAATATCGAGTGAGATTACCTTTCAATAATCATATAAAAGTTACATTTATTAATCTTTGCATACCAATCTATGGGTAATTTTGAAATATGTTACAAGGAAAGTTAACAGTCAGGGGCAAATTTTTTATGGTTAACGGTGCTAATGTTTCCTGTGCTTGCTCAAAATGTCCACAAGGATTCAGTCCACACTGTCACATAGGGGATGGCTGTCTTGACATCATTCTAGTCCGACATACATCGCTAATGAATAATATCCGAATGTTATGGAGATTAAGCAGTAAAAAAAAAAATGTGGTATGCAAATTTACTTTTTTTTTTTTTTTTTTTTTTCAAATCCGATCCAAAGTAAGGACGTTATTGTAATAAGCCCGAAAATTGAATGTGAAAATTTCATAATTTCTCTCTCGTTATTTTAAATAATATGATTTGATTTTTTATTTATTTATTTATTTATTGCAAAATTTTGAAAGACATTGATCCAGAAGTTGGTCATTTATTGAATTTTATAAAATTAATACTGATTCAGATGAGTATACTTTTTGCTTTCCATTTTCGCCTGCTTTTCTGCATTTTCTCTTCCACTTTGGCTTTTTCAATCATTATTGAGACAGATCAATAAAAATTTCAGTACGATCTTCCATTTGTCGAAGTCTATCGAGCACGTGAGTTTACATTTCAAGCTTTTCCACAATTGTCCTCAACTGATACCATCAGTACCAGCCATACAAGATCAACTGTTAGTGTTTGGAATTGTGATGGAGAAGTTCTCGAACATGTTGATGTGAAAATCAGGTGTGAAAAAAAATCAATTAAATGTAAAAGTTCATTAATTATTAAATTAATCTCACAGAATTTTCCAAATTCCAAAGGTTATTAATCTTTTTCCATTCATAGGGTGCACTGTCAACTATTGAAAGTATTTACGAGACGTATGCAGGAACCAGTGAAACAATCCAAGTGTTTTTGTTTTCCGTAGATAAAAACAAAAATAATAATAATAATAATCAGGCGAAACTGACGAATTCATCATCATTTCACATGGGAAATATGCAATTACCAAATGATGATTGTAAAAAATAACGGAGAGTAAGATTTTTCTTCTCCTGTCATTCAGGGTACAATTTACAGTTGTTTTTGTTATTATTAATTTTTCTTCATTTCATATGATGATTGGACATCAAGTTTTTGAAATATTGATTCTCGTACTTAAAGACTAAATGATCGGAATGATTTTAGAAACAACAAGTGCTGTATTATAATTAGAACAGATGAGTATTTTTATGATTCAGTATTGTATCAACCATTTGTGGTAATAAATCTATGGGGAAATATAATTAGCAATGTTGTCTTCATAAAGATTCATTTCTCATTGATCAACTGTAATTCTTTTTTTTTATAGCGTAATGAAATAACCTCAATAAAAAAGGGAATGTCACAAAACAATGTTCCCCCAATATGTTTCGTCATAATAATCAATGAATGGATTTTTTATTTCATGTAGTAAGAGAATCATCAATATTGTCGAATATATATAGTACACAATAATTGAGTCAGTATGGACACGACGTATATAATTGACGCGGCAAGGTGATAAACAATACCCCGCAATCATTTTCTCCATTTTACTTCTTTCTAGAATTCATCTTTATTTTTCCTTTCACTTGACAAGGAATATTTGTGTTTTTTTTTCTTTTTCTTTTGTTTATTTCGCAGAACACTTATTATTATTATTATTATTCATTATTATTCATTATTATTCATTATTATTATTCATTATTGCGACGCTTAAAGGAAACTAACTTTATGCGACTATCACATTATTCTTTCTAAATTTATTCTCTCCCAGTTGTTTGTATCAATGAATTGTTGCCTTCATTTTGCCACCACTATCACCACCTTGCCTTATCTGTTTTTTAGTTTTATTTATATATTTATTTTTATGCTTTTCTAAATTATTATTCCAATTATATTATTCCGTCACTTTCGACACAGCTCCATACTAATTAGTCTAATCCCTGATATATAACATGAACTGTGTTCATAATCGTAAAAAAGAATTGAGGAAACATTTTTTAAAATAATAAAATATCAATTTTTCAGCCAGAAAAAATTCTATTCAATGTTTTTTTTTTCTTTCGCTACTCTCGAGTTATTTTCGTTTTTCATAGACACTACAAATAAACTATTTTTTCCTTGGGTGATTCTCATATAATCTTCAGATACTTTGTACAAATTGCACTACTCAGTAATACTAAATTTGCTCAATAAATATTCGTTTCAATGTACATTTATATTTTATATAATTTTCAATTGAGTGGTATTGCAGCATTAATATCAATAAGTATTGCACTATTATCGTCTTTTTCTTTATTGTTATTCATTTGCACCACGGAGGAAATTGTAGAATCTAAAAAATCCTCCATTGAAAAACAATTTTCCCATAGTTGCAATAGACATTGAAATTTTTCATTCCTGTATTTCAATGCTAAAAGAAGAAGACATTAAATTTCGAACAATTGACACGTGGCACCGTTGATTTACTTTTTCCATGTTAATTTTTTTTTTTTTTTTTTTTTTTTTCATTACGTTATATCATTTCAACATTTCTTTTTGTGAAAGTTTTAATATCTACTGGTTAATTAGTTCTTATATTGCATCATGGTATGCCTATAAAAGTTTGCCGACAATTTTTCACCGCAGCTACTCACAATTCTCATAACCCCTTGTTTATTCCTTAAGCTATATGGTATTGCAATTTTGGTCAATATAATTTAGCATTTGACCTGCGCATATACCATTTTTTTTTCATTCATGCCTCATTGTAATTTTTCTAATATATTCAGTCAACTCCACGCGTAAAATATTAATACCGCGAGGCGTGGAAACTTTCACACATGGATTTTTTTTTGTTCTGCATTTTCAATTTTCATCTAAAGATTTTTACCATTTTTTTACGTTTCTTAGAGTAATGCACTTTCGGTTCAAGGCAGCTCGAGACAATGTACGAGAAGCTCTTTCGGGTAACCCGACGGACTTAAATTTTCAGTCTCTTTTTGAGAAATTGTTTTCAATTTTTATCTCCTTTGAAAATTCTGATTAATTTAGCAGCTTGCAGATGAAAAATGTTCCTTGTTGTCCCTATAATCTACAAAATTTTATTAATAGTACTGTCCCGGGCCACCCTGCAGATACAACGAAGACAAGTGCATTTTACTTGAGTATTTATTTTACTCACATTCGTTCTTCGAGTCAACATGAATGTTTTTTTTTTTTTTTTTTTTTTTTTTTTTTTTTTTTTTTTTTTTTTTTTTTTTTTTTTTTTTTTTTTTTTTTTTTTTTTTNCATATCAGCCGTGGCTAATAAATTAAGGTTTTCTCATATTCTATTATTACTTAAGCCGACTAGTTTTATTTTCTTCCTCCTTAATGAATTGGATGAATTTACACATTTTCCAATTTGCACTTGACTTAGCATCCTATTTATTGAGTAATTATTATTACTAAAAATTTCGTCTTTCTTCTTTCTCTCGTTTTATTCCTCCCAGGAGCTGTTGAAATATCACTTAATTTCATGTCCAATATTTATCATTTTTTGCCATTGCTTTGTATGGATAGTTGAATTTCATTGTGGATGAAGGAGCTTATCTCAATCTTAGTATTATTTCTCAATGATTTCTGGCAATTATTACTTTTCCCCAACATCATTTTTCATTCACGGCGAATTCAAGACATATTTAAGGCTTATTTACCTTTACCACCAAAAATCATTAAGCACTAATTTTCCGCACAATTCCCCTATAAATATATCTTTTCAGGTTCCTCGATCATTCTCATTGCGTGAAGCTTATATAAGTTACATTTTACTGTTTTGTCGTTCAAATGAATAGTGTACTATTTACAAACACACCATATAATTATTCAACCACTGCATTAATGATAAAAGCCGTTCACTATTTTCCATTTTTCTTCAGCATCCAAATGATAACTACTATCTTTCAATGTTGTTATACAACAGTGGAGTTTTCACAATACAAAGAAAAAAAGGTTAAATACATTATTATAACAGCTAATAAATAATAGTAAGGCCAACTTTTTCCAACATTGCCCAGTCCTTATTGGGAGAAGAAACCAACGGACGCGAAAATCATTTTTTTCACAACCCCTTTCAAAAATTTGGCTATTCTATTTATCAGTTCAACAAGTAAAACATCCACTTTGCAATTATTCAAACGGATGTATTTTTTTCCATTTATCGTTTTTTGAGGATGCCAATCGTGTGTGATGGAAATATTGAGGAAAAAAAAATCTTTCTCTTCAATCACAGTGAAAATGTATTGATCCATCCGATAAATTTTTAAAACCAACAATCGCAACTAGATATCGAGAAAATAAATGCGGAAAATGCTTTGTGTCGCGAGATAAACCTCGAGAAAGCATCAGCCCGCTACCCCATTATTTTTCACCGCTATCCAATTTTTTTTTCAATTTTTTCTTCATCCCGAAGGGGGTGAAGGATTTCGAGGTAATCAAACCATCTATGTTAAAGAAGGGAATTTATATAGCGTTCCACATCTTTGTCATGTCATAGGAAACCAGTGGATTGGGTTTGGATGAGGGTAGGAGGAGAACCGAGATTATTATTCTCAATATGAATAACCGGAAATTTTTTACTAAAAAAAATGGATCTAGGGAGTGTAGGGGAGTAATGTAAGGCTCATTTTGTTTATTTAATTTCTCGATACCTACAAGTTGTAAACCTTTAAAATTGTCACCAATGTTCACCATGTTTATGATATACTATTAATTAAAGAACAAAAAAATCAACTTTTCAAGGACATGTATAACACCATTAACGAAACTTTGCTCTCTTAAGTAGTGGCGGTAATAGGTGGTGGTGGTGGTAGTAGTAATAGTAATGTTGATAGTAATGCTACCAGTAGTAGTAGTAATAGTAGTAGTAGTAGTAGCAGTAGTAGTAGTAGTAGTAGTAGTAGTAAGAATAGTAGTATGTAAGAATGGAAATACATGTATTAGTACCTTTAGAAACGGAAATCATTGCAATTTGATCATTAGGTTTATAAAATGACACTTTTAAGTTTCAAAAGTTGAGTAATTGAAGAATCAACTTTATGAGGCATCTTTTATTAGTGTATCTATTTTCAAAAATCCTCAATGGAACGGTGAATAGCATTAGACATGGGCATTTGCAAAAAATTATAAAAATCAAGAGGAGTATCCCTCTGTGAGCTAAAAAATTGAAGACTATTTTCAGAATAATCAGAATACCAACAAAAGTAAGGTGCCTTTTTGCAATCGGACAAAAAAACGGAAAAATTCAATTCCAATATATTTCTGATTTGAAACGGATCATCATTTTTGTTGATATCAACTTTTAATTAAATCCATCACTTGCTACCCACATACAACTGTTCTAAAGTTGAAAATCAATTTTCATCGTTTTTTTTTTTTTTTTTTTTTTTTTTTTTTTTTTTTTTTTTTTTTTTTTTTTTTTTTTTTTTTTTTTTTTTTTTTTTTTTTTTTTTTTTTTTTTTTTTTTTTTTTTTTTTTTTTTTTTTTTTTTTTTTTTTTTTTTTTTTTTTTTTTTTTTTTTTTTTTTTTTTTTTTTTTTTTTTTTTTTTTTTTTTTTTTTTTTTTTTTTTTTTTTTTTTTTTTTTTTTTTTTTTTTTTTTTTTTTTTTTTTTTTTTTTTTTTTTTTTTTTTTTTTTTTTTTTTTTTTTTTTTTTTTTTTTTTTTTTTTTTTTTTTTTTTTTTTTTTTTTTTTTTTTTTTTTTTTTTTTTTTTTTTTTTTTTTTTTTTTTTTTTTTTTTTTTTTTTTTTTTTTTTTTTTTTTTTTTTTTTTTTTTTTTTTTTTTTTTTTTTTTTTTTTTTTTTTTTTTTTTTTTTTTTTTTTTTTTTTTTTTTTTTTTTTTTTTTTTTTTTTTTTTTTTTTTTTTTTTTTTTTTTTTTTTTTTTTTTTTTTTTTTTTTTTTTTTTTTTTTTTTTTTTTTTTTTTTTTTTTTTTTTTTTTTTTTTTTTTTTTTTTTTTTTTTTTTTTTTTTTTTTTTTTTTTTTGAAAAATATCCACCATTAAACATTTTTTCAGGTAGATATACTATTAAACGAGACGATATAAATATAATTTTTCAATTAGAGAACTTTTTAAAACTCAGTAGTGCCTCCCTCCAAGTCTACAATTGTTTTGTTGTTGAATATCTTGACTTGGGAATAAATAAGAGACAATAGAAAACAATGTCATTTAACTTGTCATCAAAGCGAATTTCCAATGGGAAATGGTAAAAATCAAACTTTTTTTTGTTCATTCGTCAATTTAAAATATATATAGAGTGTTAAATTTATATACAATTCATGATTCATTCATCACAATCAATTCAGTTGTCCACTCGTTGATACGGCTTTCGTTTGCGAAATCCCCTTTATTTCTCAAACTGCACCAGTAATTAACAAAAATTGTTGTTAATTTTAATCCCAGGGGGGGAAAAAAATCTTATAATCTCATATTTTCTTCGGATTTTTCAGTTTATTCAATACCTGTCAAGTTTTAGTCACCTTAACTGCAATTGAAAGAATATTAAGGGAACAATTATTGAGCTCAATCCTATTTTCAAAGGATTTTTTCTTTAACCATTCAAAAATACCGAACGCAAAAATAGTAGTACTCAAATGAAAATATTTTTTGTTACAGAATAAGGAGAAAAGGATAAAATGAATAAATGAAATTCGCCAAAAGAAATATTCCAACCTTTTTCGTTTCATTTTTTTTTTCAGTTTGATTCAACAATTTTCAAAATAAAATCATTGATTCTTCTATAATATGCCTTTTCTCCATGCTAAGCAAACTAAATCGCCAAGAATTCTCGTTAAACTATATACACAATACATTAATATCTACACCCTGCAGGTTAAAAATTCCGAATCTTTTTTGCCACGAAATTCGGACAATTTTTTTATCTCTCTTTAAAAAACTCTTATGTACGAAATACATTTTAATTAAAATACTTTCCTATTGTTCTCAGGTTTGATGAGAATAGGAAAAAAAAAAAGAGTAGAACGGAGTAAAAAAAATCACTCGGAAATTTTGACAATGGATTTTTCATTGTTTTTTTTTAACTTCCATTGACAGATTCATAGATGATGAAAATTTATTCTTCCATCTGTTGCATAAGAAATCATTGCCAACAGACAATTTTTTTAACACATGCCTCAGCCACACGGAGAAATTTCAGTTGTTTTTCGATTTCATCTTAACGAATCCCGTAATGAATTCTTTTTTGTGTTCATCATCATTGTCAATAATATCAATAGATAATTTGTTCATACGCATACGCACGCCATTTATGATACCATTTCACATCTATTCACAAAATTACTAATTCAAACTCACTCAACGTCTTGTGTCAGAAGTGTTTTGCTTTCTTCGGATCGATAATTATAAATATTAGTTTATTCTGGCTTATCTCTGTTTCTCCTACTTAATAGCCTGTAATGACTGATACACAATTAGTCTGAGCAAATACAGGCATAAAATATAGTCAATGATTTTTATTCTGAGCTCAATTCATTTAGCAAACTATGTCTTGAAAAAATAAACTCCTAATGCGTAGTACAATTATGTTTGCAAATTGTTTTAGCGATGTTTACATACTGCTATCAACAGTAAGAATATTAACTATGAGCTCGTTATTCTATCGAGAAATGATTTGTCAATGAAAGAACAAAAAAACGTATTTTCCCCACGAAAAATTTCAATTTTTTAAAGTGATGATAAAGTGATGGTCTCATTATCGAACATTTGAAAAGAAATGAATAAATAAATAAATTGAAGAATAAAGTGAAATTTTCTCTTTTCCAAATATCAAATGGAAGAATCTATTGGCAAAAATTGTCTCCTAGGAGATTATTATCAATGAATAAAAGAAGCTGATAAATTTTCAGATGTGTAAAAATTTGGAGTTGTACAAAATTATTGATTTTTGCCAAATGAATAAAAATGAAAAAATAATTTAATGAAATTGCCTTGATGTAATTACGAGACTCGCATAGAGAGAACCCCAAAGGATGATTCCGCTGACAAGATAGCCTCTTGGTGAGGCGCGCAACGAGTATCCATGGGTCACGGTGGTGATTTTGGTCTGCCATTTTTCTCTTCAAGTATGTGCTGCTGATTTTGTTGTTGCTGTTGGGATTGAGCCTGATGATGATGATGATGATGATGAGTATTGGGATCTTGATTGACAATTTCATTACCAATTAAACTTCCGGAGCCGCTTTTGTCCATGCTGCTCGTGTGTACTGAATGAAAGTATCGGTCTGCAAGTGATACACTTTTCTTTTAATTTTATAATAATGCCATCTGGCATTAATATTGGCAATTTTACACATACTATCAGATATTTATATAATTGCAGCAGAACAGAAAGATTGCATAAACTTGTACAACCAGTACAAGTATATATAATACAACTCTTACTCACCATCGTCTATTGATGAGGAAGGTTCACCGGGAGTACCGGCGATAATCGGGGCAATCATATTATAGTCATCTTCTAAATTGATAAATGGTGCCGTATTCCAACGTGGTGGAATACTTGCAACTGATCTCTGAGTGGCAACAGGTCGTGTCACTGACACCGGTGATGAAAAGAGAGAGAGATTTGTGGGTGATATCACACCAGACATGGAACTTATTGTTGGATAAGTGAATATTTGCTGAAAGAAAAAGAAAATTCAATAAATAAATAAATAAATAATTGACATTGAGTTAATTTCAATTAAATAATAAAAAATGAAAAAACAATCATCATCTACCTGGCCAGGTTGTGAATGAAAATGTGCAAAGGTATATTCTCGACTGGTATGTGGTGCAGTTACGAGAATTCTCGTAGGGCTTTTTCTTCCTGTTGTATCCACACTATTTTGACAACCTGAACCAACAAGACCCGCAGCACCGGCTGCTGCTGCCGCTGCTGCGGCTGACGCCGCCGCTGCCGCCGCCGCCGCCGCCAATTGTTGATCTTGATTGGTACTGTTGAGATCAGCAGGATCTATTGGTGACGTAGATGAATTGGGTGGTGAGCCTGAGCCAGTTGCACTCAATTCACCAGTTGAGCGTATTATTGCGACCGGCCTTGCCATTGGTGCCGGTGGTGGTGGTGGTAACATTGAGCTCGGGTAATACTGCGAGAACTTTTGTACACCAGGACGTTGGCCAGTTAATTGTGCCTGGAGAATTGGCATACCAATCATTCAACTGACATTATTTAACCGGTCCTCTCACTCTGGGCTGAGTGTACCGCCTTTCAGTTTATTTTACGCAAATATTACATTTATTTTTATCATTTTCATATATTGAAAGAAATTTATCATCATATCACGATAATAAATTTGTAAAAGTTGATTGATGTACACTTTTTCTCGCGCTTATTGCTACCCAGAGTGAGTGGAGCACGGAATTCAATGAAATACATTCACACATTCTACTGGGAGGATACGGAAGCTACCTGGGGTAGTTGCTGAGTATTCTCAGCTTCTTGACAAACGAATGTGACAAAATCTGATAAAGTGTCGTGGCCATTCTCAGGGTACTTGACGACACCGCTGGAGACCGAGTGCTCAGGCTGGTAATAGGCGAGACCGGCCATACTCCCGCCCTGACTAGAACCACTAGCGAGACCCTCATGAGGCGAATGTAATCCTGAAACAAATTCGACATTCATTGAAATTCAATAACTCTGCAACAAAGAATCAACCACTTGAACAAAGAATAAGGAAAATTGAAAAAGGACTCATCATTATCATTAGAAAATTTTTTCATCTTTGTGCCTCTTCTTTTCTTTTTTTTTCTTTTTTTCTTTTTTTCTTTTTTTCTTTTGTTTCTGGTCATTATTATACATTTTGAAAAGCGAGAAGGCTGCTTGACTGGTTTAGTTGACTGAGGTACATGTATATGTCTGCTCGCAGCTCCGAAAAATAAGTCTGTAAGCCACCATTATTATTATAAAAATTCATTGAATTTTGTTTCTTGTGAGCTAGCTTTTAGCTTATTTAGTATTAGAACGATTTAATATGCATTTTCAACATTTTGTGTCTAAGCAAAATTAAGAACGATGTCATCCTAAACATGTACGTACCAGTGCTAACGATAGATATATACATGTATCATATAATAAAGAAAGACCCATAAAAAATGACAAAATAATATGCTATGTTACAATATCAATTTAACATAATAATCATAATAATAATAAAGGTCTTTCCCTAGATATGTGTACACATTGTGCAACGACAAACATCGAATAGCAAGATAGATAATGATTGAATAACATCACATCAATGAAAGAAACAATGGAAAAAAATCTTTGAAGGGAAATTAAAAAAAAAAAAAAAAACACATCGATTATAATTAAAAACATTGACATCAACGATATAACTTGAATATGTTAAATTAATTATATACATTTGAGCGACTACACCAATTCGATACGTGAAAAATGGCCGTCAAAAGTTTTCACCGTTTTTCTAGTCTTGCACTTGATAAAGAACACAGAAAATATGTTCAGTATTTGGAGGCAATTTTTAATAGAAAGAATTGGGGATTCGCTCATATAATAAAAAATAATAATTCTGATGAAATATTCCACGTATATGGATTAGATTATATACGACATAAATGAATGAATAAGTGGAAACAACACCAAACATCGCAACAACCCTCGTATTTAAATCACACATATTGAATCAACATATAATGCATGTCTTTAGAGTGATACATGGAACATTTATACGTGAATTTTCTTTCCAATGAATTAAGGCGATTATAGTGGGATCGGGGGATATTTTTAGAGAACACAGAGAATTAATTGAAAATTCTCCAACACATTATTTTTAATTAATTTAAAAACCGAAGGATTTTCATTGATTTCTTTGCTTTTCATACCCCGCCATAATATCCTTAAGGGTTTGGGTTTTCAAGAAAGGTAATAAATAGGTGAAGAAGAAAAGGTGATTGAAAATATAAAAGTGTAAATTAAGTGAAATATTATGGAGCATTAACAAAATACCTTAATTGGAATTTCATGTCATACATATGTATTCTTTTTTCTCAGTGCTTTTTTATACATAAGAGAGAATGGAGCAAAGTGGACCATTTGTGATTCACTTTAATTCATACTATCTTTGGTTATAAACAGATATATTGGAATTTTGAGTCGATGACAAACGTTCTATTTTGTTCTCCTCTACTCTTATGTATATTAAAGTTTGAATTTTCAATTAATATGACATCCAGCATACGACATACCCAGAGCATTGGCCGTGTACAGTGAGTGAGACATAATACGTAAATCTAATAATCATAATAAGAATGTTTCATGATAGTAGTAGTACGTACAAGGGAGTAACAGCCTTGACTCTTGTATTTTCTCAAGAAATTATTTAATGGTGAATAAATGAAAAAAAAGTTGAAAACAATAAATAAATAATAATGTCAACACATGAAAATGAATTAAATTTTCATTCTTCTGCCTCTTTTTTCAGTAAAATTTCTTGAAACTGTACCTGTCAAATGTTCAAATATTGCTGAACATTATGATATTATCTTCAATGTTGATTCATGAATAATAATAATGATAATAATAATAATAATAATAATAATAATAATAATAATAATAATACTAATAATAATAATAATAATAATAATAAATGAAACGAACAAACAGTTTACTACAGAGCCGAAGCTGTTAACTTGAAAAATTCAAGTGAATGGAAACAGGAGATGAGGATTATATATTGAAGATGAAAACAAAATTATGGATAATAGCAAGGAATTGTACGGGTTTCAAGAAATTTAAGTGACATCACTATCAGACAAAAGAAATACAGAGAACAGATAGACACAAGACAGACAGACAGATCAGACAGATAGACAGCGACAGCTAGCTTACCGATTATAAAGATGATAGGAGCTATTTGATGATTAATATTGATGAATCAATTATTTAAAAGTTTGTTAGTATCATCTTGTTTGCCCGTCCGCCGATCCGTCTGCGTTGTCTTCCGATGGACAAATTCAATTTTCAATATTGATCATTTTTTTTCTTCTCAAGTTATGACATTAGTTATTTTCCAATTATTACTTCCTTTTGAGCCAGACGGATCCATCGGACAGGCAGACAATTATATTTGTATAAAAATTAACAGTCCAATCATATCACATTCATTATTTTGTTTTTCAAATAAGTTCAATGTTTTAGGACTCTCTGAGTTCCAATTGTTCCTCACATGACAAATTACATTTTCAACGAATGATGAGACGGATTTAGGAATAAGTTACCGCAGAAAATTATTGGAAAATAATCAACAGAGACAGCCAAAAGTTTTCATGTTATTATTCTCAGAGGTTTCTTGATTCCAGTTTGAAATTCATGAATAAATACAAATAAAGTTAGTGCCTCGATCGTTCTAATGAAGCCAAACACTTTAAGGTTCATTTTATTCGGAAATTTCCTGTATTTTTAACATTTTTCATGTTTCAGAGGAAACAACTAATTCACTTTTTTTTTTCTCTATCATCTTCTGATGCTCCAATGGCTTCAATTCTTTTGGCATGATTGAAATTTTGAAAATAAAAGTATGGGGGTTGGATATGTATTTCACACGCAAAAAAACGATGACTTCAGGAGGATAGACAATATAATTGTGTCAAACAATCGTGCATACAACTTGGCAGGCGGCTAGTTTAGCACATTTATCAGTGTTGAAATTTGTGCGTTTTAGACGCAATAAAATATTTACTTTCGATTATTTTGTTTCATCTGTTTCTCAACTTTAAAATACGAAGGAAGTGAGTGAGTGAGAGAGAGAAAAAAAGAGATTCAAGAAAATGCTGTTTTTGGGGGTACACGATAGGAATTTTCCAATTCCTGCCAAAAGACAATACAATGTAAGCATACATTGATTATGTATATAGGTATATAATATTGTATGTTGAAAAATAAAATTGATAAAATATCGGATAGTTAGTTTCATTATAGAGTAACGCTTAAAACATCAAAGTTACGAAGGAGTATATGTGATTATTGGTAAAATATACCGGATTGTTACAACTATTGTTAAATAATTGCCAATATTTCTACCAAATATCACATTTTTTCAAGAAGATATATTTCATTAGATTCCGTAAAAATCGAAGATATCCCGAACTAATCTCCAATTCTAATGAGCTCTGCTTCCCTTACCAGTAAATTAAGCTTTATCGTACAAGATATGAAGAAAAATACAAATTTTGTATTTCAATAGTAGTACTAATGTCAATTTCCAAATTGTTGATGTAGATCGCATTAAAAAACGGTCCAACAGAACAGATAGGTCATGTCTTATTCCGATAGATCAACATTTCGGGTTTAATTCCACTTTTAATAACAAGTGGTTTTCTCATATAAAATGTTTGTCGCCTTGTAATTATACGAGCAATAAGCTGATTCATTTTTTTTCTCAACATATCATCACGAATAAATTGATGAAAATTAGAAATATAAAATATGAATTCTGATGATTTGATATTGTCATTTACTCTTGATAAAAAGAAAAAAAATATACTTTTGAGTGTTGTAATAAGCAATGAAAGTGTGATAATGATTAAAACTAAATAAATAAATATATAAATCAATTGCCTTGGAGAATAATCCTTATTTCTTCCCTCATCCTAATACCAAGCACTTCTGGATAATGTTCAGTGCATCACAAAACACTCAGATAAATATAAACAAGGAATAATTGAGAAATGTATGAAGATGATGATGATGATGATGATGATGATGATGATGATGATAATGATAATAATAACAGTAATAATAATAATAATAATAATAATAATAACATCAATGACAATGAAAATGAACTTGACAGTTGCAGTTCGAAAAATGGCAAAGAATTATAAATAATATATTAAAAAAATACATTTACTCGTGAATAATGGCAAAACGCACGCTTCCAACATACCCATACCCATAATACCTGTAGACTGGGAAATAAGTTGAGGAAAAATTGTCCACAAAAAATCAAAGTAATAGTAGGGCGAATTGTAATTCAATAAAAAATAATAATTCAGGTAGGGCATATCTTAGGATAGATTCATTAGAGAAAAATGGCATGTGAAAGGAGAAATTACTAGTCTCTGTACAGTATAGTTAGTCTCATGGGACATGCTAACTAATGAAAGTGAAAATTTACAGTACATTGATAAGTATTGAGTTTGGCTGGTATGATAGTATTTTATGTAATTGCAGATAAACAGATAAATTTTACCACTGTAGAAAAAATTAACTGACAATGAGGAAATTTTGTAGAACAAGAGGAGATTATGAATCGTTTTGTGAGTTGAAAAAATGTAGGAGCAAATTTAGCTTGACGATTACTTTCTCAGTACTTTTTCCTCAACTTTTTTCACCAAGTGAAAAGGGGTATATGACATATTATTTATACTTATAAATATATATACAGCCGTGCGCACATACGTCTACGAAAAATACGTGTACATGTACGTAGACATGTCGCATAGAGGTAGATAGATAACATCATATTAGCCATATCACAAATGTACCTTTTGGTAGACTTAGCGAGCTTCTCTCAATTTTGCTCGGGCTCAGACTGAAACAGATGACGCGTAAATCCACCATTAGTTCCCAATTAATTTCTCCATCATCATTCTTAGAATCGGTGATAAATAACTGCCTGATGATATTCTTTTCAATATTAGAAAAAGTTTCTTTACTGCATTATAAATCTGTATTTGATATCCACAAATGCTGGTATTGCTCTCAACGTACGAATATTCGACGATTTCACTTACGATGCCTAAGTCAGCTCAGAATGGGTTTATCGCACACTGGACATTTCGTTGGTCGAAAAATAGTTTTTCATTATCGATCACAATGATTTTTCAATCAATCCATTTTTCGTTCGTTTCGAAAATTAATATAGTTAGTTGTATTATTTTCCAGAGTTATTTCAACATATTTTAACATACTGAGGCGGAAGGCAAAAAATTAGTTACGAAGCACATTGTTAATTGGCTTTTTTTTTCAAATCCCAAATTTCTCAGTATATTTTTCAATAACATTGTTTTTCTTTTGTAGCGCAATGCTTTTTCAATTCCATCAATTCCAGATGAATGATTAAAATCCATATGATTATTTATCCAATATTTTCCCGAAAGATGAGAGAAATAATCGCTTCGTTCAGTTGCTTATTTTTCTCCATTGTTTATCAGTTATGGAAAAATATTTCCTCCCGCCCCCCAACAAATAAAGTTGGTGAAAATTTATTATAACGTACCGGCTTGCGAGTGAGGTGAATCCATTCCACGGTGACCACCCTCCTCAGGCCTTAGGACAGGTGAAAAACTTGGTGCGCTCGATACGGAAACTGGGGGTTTTTCAGTCTTGTCATTTCGTATTAATTGATGAACCGGCGGTGGACCTGCAATGTGTGAAAACATGTTGAAAAATATCGGTAAATTTTCTTTAATCCTCATTCTTTGACCCAATGATTATCATAGTATTGTGTACTTATTGAATTATCATGACATGAGGGGATAAAACTGAAAAAAGAAAAGAAATTACCGAGACATTCGATAATAATTGCCACTAGTCATTTTTCCGAATCGTGTAGTTTTCAAAATAGTTTGTGTTTTTTGTTTTTTTTTTTTCATCATCAATTATCAAACTTACTAAAGCTAGCCGCAGGCTGAGCATGATCCGCTGCGGACGCTACGGACGGAGGTGTGTAGCTGCTGCAGTAGTACGGCGGGTGCTCTATTTTGATCGCGTTTATTTGAGGCTGCATGTCGCTGAGGTCATGCAGTATGGACGCTGAAACCAGACGCAAGCATTACGACGTATTATTTTATTCTCAATCTTTCATTTTTTTTTTTCGTCTTTTTTCTACTAAACATTATAGTTATGTTCATCACAATGTATCTTCTTGTTCCGTTTAGCAATTATGTAGAAAACAGTGCAATTATTAAATCGAAATATCATTTTTTCAAGCCAAAAAGAAATGAGTCTTTTTCTAATCTCGTTTCTTTTTTTTTTCATTTTTTTTTCCACCTTTTATTACACATAACATGAATTTTCAAAGAGAAGAAAGAACCGGTACTCATTACAAGATGGCAAGCTTCTGTCCCATTGCAGCATTGTTCGTTGCTATTAATACCATCCTCTTGCAAACTAATTTACTGTACAATTGGGTGAATCAAGAAGTGCGAATTTTATTTTATTTTATTTTTTTACTTGTAAAAAAACAACAGAATAAAACGGATTCCTTCAATTGATAATTGAGTTTATTATTTTGATAATACTTTCTCAAATTCTGAAAAGAGTAACCCAGAACTAATCAGTAAGAAAATGAGATTGCATAAAAATTTTTTTTTACTGTCGCTTTCCGATTTGCTTTGGATTAATTTTCTTCAAATGATCTTGGATGCTTTCAAAGGGTGTATATGCCTTACTATTTACCTTTCGAAAGCATCCACAATGCTCAAAGTTTTTCCAACTATCTATTTATTTGTTTCTCAATATTATCATTTTTCTTTTGTTTTGTTTTGTTTTCTGTTTATTTACAACATCATTTACCTTTTGAAAGCATCCAAAGCTCCTTTGAGCTGAAGACACCAGTAGCTAGGATCGTATCGTTGCATACGACACCATTATACAGTTCGTGATACCCTCCACCTGGCAACAAACCCAACGAACGCTATATATTAATTTCACTCATATCTTTCATTTGCCTAATAATGTTTCAATAAAAATTTGTTGAGCAATCAATTTTTTTTCGAAATTAGAGTATACCTTTTCGTCGTCGTTCCTCTTCTTTACTGGTATTACAAATCCCATTTAGTACTTCTGAAATAAAAATAACGAAAAAATAATTACAATAACAAATTTGTCAAGCTATTTTTATTTTCAGAAGCATCCGTGGATAGGTTTCCATTGTTGCTATTTTCATCGATATTCATTTTTAATTTCTCCAAATATATCTTTTTTCAATATTTTTTTTTATTTTGCCAATATTTGCAGAGGTTGTGAAGGCATTAATCTTTCCATCTTACGCAAACTATCATTGCGCAATATATCACCAAAATACCAAGATGGCATGAGTGAGATACATACATCCAGAACCGTCTAAGGTGTTTCAAGAGGGATTAAAAGATTGAGAATAGCAAAACAGGAATTATTTCCCCATGCAAGTTGATATATATACTGAAAAGTCTGCAACAAAGTATTTATTGTAACAAATTTCTATAGAAAAATCTCCAATATGGTACAATACTATTCACCCTTTTTACGGAAAAAAACAATATTAAGTATAATGAGAAATTGCATTTTCATATTTTTTTTTCACCATTATGATGATGAATCTGAGTAGATATTTACGGAGATATTATAAAGATGATCACGAATGTAAATCAACATAACCGAGGGATACAGTGACGAAGAGGGGCCTATTTATTTATAGAGTCAGGCTCCCGTATTTGATGCACCTCGAGAGAATGGCGCTGATGTTAGTCCAGTATACGCATAGCAAATTAGAAATTGGTCGAGTTCGCCAAGTACTTGTTTTTTTTTTTCAACTCTCCCTCGGAATATGTCTATTCCATTGATTATTAAGGACCCAATGGTCGAAATATAATCAATATCATCATCCGGCCCCTATTGAATTAGCATTTACTCATGAGGAAATTCAAATAAAATTAAACATGCTAAAAGCACATTGTCATCTCCTTCCAATGAGAGTGTTTTTTTCAAAATATTTAATCTACCCCATGGTTTTGTTTCTGTTTTTTTTTTCCTCTTTTTTTGTCATGAGGAAAAATATAAACCTAACAAGCACTTTTAGCGGCACGTGCAGGGGATACTTAAATAAAGTAGAATATACAATAAGATTTTTGTACAACTTACCGTGGCTCGTGATAAAATTGGCAAGGTAGAGATCGAGTTCCCGGACGGAGACATTGATGTGATAGGGATTCACACATAAACCTGGTTGCGCGCACTCGGCGGTTTTTTCTAAGCGCTCACCATCTGTTGATTCTAGAGGTATTGCCTTGAAAAGGATCACCATGACTAGATCCAACCTCCAAACCTATTATTGAATGCAAAACCGAAAAATCGACAATAAAAACAAGACTAGTAGATAACTAGAATACTGGGCTACATTCAATAGATATCATATTATCGAATCAAATTATCGATTTACCTTATCTGCTTGTCTCAAACAGTCGATTCGCCTCATTTTTCCCTTTTGATCAGGATTGCTCAAGACACACATCGCCGGCCTTTTTCCTGTTATACTCAGGACAAAGTCCTCTCTGTATTCTTGTGTTATGTCTTTCCTTAATTTTCCCAAAAGCCGTGAGGCCCATTTCTGCTTTACTTCTAATTTTTCATTCTAAAAAATTGAAAAAACAAAAACAAAAAACAAAAAAAGGAATAATCATGACATCATCTTATGGCAAAAATGAATAAAGTAGTGTTTAATTTTCTCGAGAATGTCAATCTATTTTAATAGATATACTTGCATAGGATGCAAGTACAGAATTCTCTTCAGCATTACATGCATGGCACAAATCTTCATCTTTTTTCATTTCACCTCGTGTAAGTCACGCACGGAATAGAAAATAATTCAAGACTATTCCTACATATCGAATTAATCGTTTGTATGTGGAATTCTACATGTGGTTCTCGTCGATTGGTTGCGTTACCCACGATTACATTTCCCGTTCATGGGAGCGCCAGAGTAAAATGAAGGAAAAAGGATGGAAAAAAAGAAAAGAGAGAAAAAATAAAGGAAAACGAGCAAGATCTGGCATATAACGCAAGAAGAAAGAAAGAAAGAAAGAAAGAACAAATGGGAGCCATAGCTTATAATCATGTATTCAACACAGGTTGTCCCTCGTCAACGTAAATAAGTCAGTATATGTTGTAAAATGTTAACGCATTCTTCACTGTTTCTGCATGTACAACACATTGTGGAAAATGCCAGAATAATTATTCGGAAATTCAGGTGGAGTTTTTCATTAATATTTCCATTTTTTAGAGGCAGAAGATGTTACAAGTGATTCCGTTAAAATTCAAAAACCATTTTTGTCAAGAATTTGCCAGCACCTTCTCCCTTCCAATGATTAAAACAAATAATTCCCAACTTGGCCCATATTGTCTTGAGAGTAATTTCTGTTTATAAGATTTGAAAAATCAAGAGAAAGACGAACAAGAAGATAGAAATCTGAAAAGCGATTAAATTCAGGCCACCCCGTAAGTGCATAGAGAATTGTAATGGATAGGCTAGCGCAGCGGGTGAAAGGAGGATCTTTGTCCTTTTCCTCTAAAATCTATGTGTACATTCCACGAGAGTATGTTCTACATAGTTACATCATGTAGCTATAACATGTGGCGGAACGTCTATCGATTTACTTTTTTCGGCGCAGGTCTCATTTCTCTATGCAATTCTTTCATTATTTCACTTTTTTTTTTCCATTTAGCACAAGTGGGGGGGGTAGGTACATGACTTTTAATTCATCACACTCCAGTCCATTTCCGTGAAAATTTATAATACATTGAATAAAAAAAATCCTCTTAATGAGTGATTGATTAAAAATTGCACTAAAACATTAATCTGCCAATCGTACAAATATGTTATTTTAATTTTTTCAAATGGCAAGATTCGGTATTTTTTTCATGTCCTTCAATTCAAAAAGGCCATAGTAATGCATTTATGTCAAAGATAAGATATCTCAAAAGAACATGGTGAGACGAGGGATGAATTGAGGACTAGCGAAAATATATTTATTAATTTGGCAAGAGTCCCAAGGGTGTCTAGTCTGTGCCTCTTTTTTTTCTATCTTTCCCCTTTACATTACTACATTATGACGTGAACAAAAGCGACTTTGCGATTTCTTTATAGGCAATTTCGAGGTCTGCACCAAGTGCTGTAAATACCAAGGAGAGAGGGACCGCGCTCCAGCTTTACCCCCATCTCCAATTTCTTCTCATTCTCATGCTCATCCTTTCTCAACTTCGTCTTCTCCCCCCACTAGATGGGTACGATCGACCCTTCGACTGGCCATGCATTTTCCACCATGTTCCTCTCTCTTTGCTACTAAATTTTTTTTTTCCTCCACCTCTCTGGCTTTTTTCATCCCAAGCTTTTTATGTTCATTTTTTCCTATGTCTGAGCCCCCTAAATGTGCAATGGAGAATGGCAATTGTTTGTGAAAAATTGCGACAAGCAGTTCCAGACGGATTTTCTCAAGTAAATTCTCTCTTTCAATATTCTTAGAATGCTTGTCTTTATTGATTTTGCTTTCCTTCAGTTGAATATTTAATGACTTTTCAAGTTTTTCATAGAATTGACAAATAAATCAATGTGGAAACAAATACATATTGTCGACTAGAATAAGTGCAAAAACACAACTTTTTCAGAAGAGCTGAAATATTTCGATTCAAGCAATAGAAAATTTTTCAAATAAATTGCACTTATCTTAGTTTACCACTTCACTACAGAATTGTAATATTATAAATAGGGTTTTCTTTGTTTTCATTGAAAAATCAACAAATCCTTCATTTTCATTCATTACAGTCGAATCTGCATAAATTTGGCGTAACCACAATGAGAGCTACTGAATATGGCTATTTGTGAAAAAAAAAAAAAAAGAAACGAAAAGAAAAAGTAATAAATCGATCAATCAACCCTATTTTCAAATCATCAGTACAATCTCTCTTTACCTCTTCCTCACTCTTGATTTTTGGAATAGTAAACGATTACAGATATCAATGAATCTTTCCTCGCTTTCATTAAATATAACATCGTTCCTCAATGTAAAAATTGAAATACTATATTACGCTTGAATAACATTCCTTGTTATACACGAATATGAGCGGCTAGTTTCAGCATACAACGATAAAGTGAAGAGGACAGTAGAACCAAAAACAGATGAACAAAGATGAACGATAGATAGAGCAGTTAGAGGGTGGGCAGCGGGCAGGGTTGCTAGTTTGCATAAATTTAGGAAATACAGGGTGGAAAATCGATATCCGCATAGAGATTATAGATGTCGGTTGGTAGGCGCCGCGTAGCCGCAGCCTCCGTCGCGACGGCGTGTACACTATACGCGTGTAGTTGCACTTGTGTGTGTGTGTGTGTGTGTGTGTGTGTGTGTGTGGTCTGCCTGCCTGTCTATCTCCCTGTCTACTTTATTTTTTTTTTGTTTTCCTCTTAAATTCGTACATTTGTCCAGTAGAGACTTCCGCATTATTTTGCCGTGATTATACCACTTTATGGTTTTTCTCTTGAATTTGAGAATGAAAATCTTGGTTCAATTGGATATAATTAAATTCGGCTGAAAAAAAAATTGAATTGCACTCGGAGAAAAAAAAATCATCGTTACTCTATTTTATCGAAGAAAGAGCTAGTAACCCCCCGAGTGGCCTCTCTAGATCAAGAAAAAGGACATTTTGTTGGATGCACTGATTATGCTCTGTACTATGCCAAAAAGGCAAAGAATTTTTAATCTGTCAAGAATGATTTTCTAGTTTTTTCTTTTTTTTTTTTCTCTTCCTTTCTATTCGTTTAGAGAAAAATTTCGATTTAAGTTAGAATCGTCTGAGAGAAATATGAATGGTGATTTAAGGATACAAATAAAACTTGTGTAGGACTCATTATGATTCCATAACTTGCATACCACTTGAAATTCATTGAAAATTACTTAGCACTTCAACACTTGCTAATACTAACTTTTATTATTAACACTATTACTTTCTCAGGAAATTTGTAATCTAGAAATCAATAGTTGTCAATTAAGCAAAATGACATTAATTCATAAGCCCTCGAAAATTGGGAAGACAAAAAAGGGTGGTGTATATACAATGGAGATTAACGAGATGAATATGAAAAAGAAAGAAGAAGATGAAACAAATGCGTCGAGATGAGAGCTACTGGCCAAGCGATAGAACGTCACGAGGTCGTTTAGTGCCAGAAATAGTTTCGAAACTTGTTATTTTATTATTATTATTGTTTTTCTCATTCCGTTTTTTGTCACTTGCTTAATTTTTATAAAATTTCCCTCCTATGGGATAATAATAAATAAGTTAATATTCTCGTATTTATGCAACGACGATCTTCATTTTATCAATATGGCCGCATTGAAGCATTGAAATTGAACAAGAGAAGAGTGAAGAATAACATAATTTTCTACAAATTAATATAATATTTGTCTTGTCGCATTTTATATAATAAGAGGAAAAGAATGAATGATAAAAACATTCAATTACCTGCAGTTCCTCCTTACATTGACGTTCTTCTTCTAAGCTCATTCGCTTCTCATGCTTCTTGTAGTAACGCCTTTTGGCTGCTTGTAAGTTGAACCACGTGTATGAAAATGATTTCACGAATGGAAGAAGGGCCTCAATGAATGGATGGAACTCATCCTGCAACAAAATTAAATTAAACAAAACCTTTTTTTCCCATAATTTTCTGATTGTTGTTCTATTTATTATCTCATTAGTAAGGCTCATTGGATGATTATTTAACACAATGGGCTTATTAAAAAGAAAGCTCATTATTCCTTGGAATATGAGGGTCAAAAAATCCAAGTACTTGTATACATGAGAGTTGGCTTTGTACGCGTTACAGAATACAGAACTAACAGTCGTTAGTAGTTGTGGTCTTAGGCGGTCAGACGTAATATCAATGATCGATCCCAAAAGTACACACTCATAATATTCTCCTCACCCTTGCTTGTTTTTTCATCATTGTTTTGTTATAAAAATATATGTTTTTTGGTAGTGTTAGTATACCTATACAATGGTACTATGGTATACATAAATATTCAAACATGATAACATGAGTTGATAATAATAACGTAATGGTTTCGATAAAACTTTTTTTTCACAGTCGTTTGCAGGAGAGAGGTAAAAAACTGATATTGCAAATTTTCATTTTATAATTATCATTGATACAAGAAAAGAAACGAAAAGAGACGAAAAAAAGGTATAAAAACGAAAATAGTCGAAACGAACCATCGAGTACTCGCAAGGACTGGGGCCGCTGTGGCACACAAGCGTACGTCCGTTTCTATCTTCGTCTGGTTGTCAGAAACATGTATTCCCGAAATAACCGTAGCGCAGGTCACACCGGTACTCCTCCACCTCCTGGACACAGGTTGATCGTGGCCTCATCTGCTCTTGTATTCTCGCTTATTAATCCTGTCTTATTGAGCCTCTACGCACGCAATTTATCGCAACAAAAATTCTCAGCAATCACAAACAATCACGATTGTTCACTTTTCTTAAATATGAATCACTGAGTGAGCTCTCAAAAAATAAATATTAACTACAACTTGAGAAAGTTAATGTTTTTTTGCATCGAAATTATTGCCTTCTAGTCGTTCCCTCACTAAGAGACGTTGTAAACACGGGCAAAGAGTGAAAAAAAAGCTGCAAGCTTCGAGCTTGGAAAAAGAGAAACACTCTAAAAATGTTTTTTCATGGAAAATTACAATTGAATTTTCTTCTTCCTTTTTTTTTTCATTGAGAAAATAATTGAAAGAGAGATTCTAAAACCATGGAGAAGAATTATCGAATATTTCTTGGGAATTTTTCATTTACTGTTTACTCAAAAGATGATGATGATGATGATGATGATGATGATGATGATAATAATAATAATGCAAGAGGGAAAATCTAACGACGTAGTAGACGACGTCGGTCGTCGCGGCGACACTGAGACGCCGGTGGATGGCCGGCCGCACTCTTCTCACCAATCGAGACTACAGTCAAGTGAGACAGAGTGTGTATAAACGTACACAATCACAGTAAGCACAAGAAAGAGAAGGCGCACGCGGCGGCCACATAGAAGCAGCCAGGTACGGCACCCCCAAACACTGTTTATTAATAGTCCATGTCCTAGCTTACTAGATTTGCCCTCGAACCAAGAGCATCCACTCATGCCATTTACCTTGCCTTGCCTTACCTTCCTCCCTCCCTCCCTCCCTCCCTCACACCACAAATTATCATCGTCATCTCCTTATATTATAATAATATAATAAATATATTGTTTATTGAATAATTATTATTTGTCTTGGAGATGGTTTAATGAATAAAAAAAACATCATGTTAGAGAAAGAGAGAGAGAGAGAGAGAGTGGTGTAGTCTTTTTAGAGAAATTCAGAAAATAAGGGAGGAAAAATATAACGGCGACCACGCGGCTGCTGGCAAAAGCGATCGATAGCCAAACTCCTCTCCGTCTGGCGGGACATAGACCATCGCGCACATATACGTGATCTAACACATTATGCTCTATTACACACCAAATGAAATAGGGGAGGCTGGATAATGTGACAAAGGGTATTCAATCATTACTGTGCATTCGTACTTTTTCTTTATTAGCATAGAGGATAATTGATAAAAAATTACCTGTCCTACGGAAGGGGCCTGTAGGTAAGTAGAGACATCTGGTTCCACCATACAGCTCCTTAGGGTATCTGGGATAAACATGAGTAGTAGAAACGGTCCAGGCTGAAGCCGGTGCGCACAAATGCGCCGAAACTCCAAATAATTTCGTTCCTTATCAGCAAAAACTTGTTTTCAAAAATCTCTCTCTTCAAAGGATTTCCGGCTCTTTTGTACACAACCGTTGTAAAATATTGCAAAAAATATCACCGATCAAAGTAAAACCAACTCTCTTGAATTTCAACTCTTTAGCAACTATAAATCCTTCGTAATTGCTGTTGCTGCAGTGTTGGACACAAGGATTAGGTGTTGAAACACCGCGACCAAAAACACGCATCCTCCTTACACTTTTATAGGGGAGGAAAAAAAAGAGATATTTGTACAACTCGATTATTCTTTTCTCCCCTTTCTTCGGAGAATGTCTCGCGGATTTCTGATTATCCACCGTCGTCTGTGTCTCTCTTCACCCGCCGCTATTTTGGCCCCACCACTCCCCAATATTTTTTCTATCTATTCATTCTCTTCGTCCCACTGAATTCAGGGACACTTGTTTTTTCTCTCTTTCTCTATTCCCTCCCTGCCTCCCCCCTCCCCGACCACCCACTTGCATATATAGTTCACTCGTTGCTGTTCTGGTAGATGGTTAGCTATGTGCCGCCTGCAGACTACGCCGACTCCAAAACGCCGTCGCTTTTGCGTCGGCGTACTCTACATACTCCTACTTCACTGCGGCATTTGGATTCAAACTCCACAACACTAATATTATCATTTCTTTTTCACACCCTGAAAACCAATCAACTTCCAAATTAATTTCACCAATTTTTTCTTTTTATCGATTCCAAGAATGGAATTCTTGTCGACGTATCGACAAATACCAATTGCAAATCGACTGATATATTTTTATAGATTTGTAGAAAATGGTCGTGATTTTTAATCGAGTTATAATTGATTCAAGAAATCTTAGCCGCTTTTTTGGCGTACAAACTTGATGTTAGTAGGTCTAATATTTTAATAATAAGTTGCTATACATCGAGAACATAAATTCAAACAATGATGAGACGAAAATGCGAGAGTTAACTCAAATGCATTCCGATTCGATCACCTACGGCGAAAGAGCACTAAAAGGAAAGGAGCGTGAAGAAAGAATAAAAAAAAAGCAACCAACGGAACGTTATGGACGTGATGGACTTCACAGTTTAAGAAGGCTCATGACCGCTTCTACTGCGATGCGATTCAAGGGGGAGAGGGAGCATCCATGCAGTATATTCAACAAACTTTTACTATCATAAATCTAATAGTGTGACAAATACTTATGGCATATCTTGTTTAGACACTGTGAATTAATTACTAAACTAATATAATCCCTGTATTACTTATATTATCATTAGACATATTTATTATGGTGATAATAAACAAATTACCACAAAAAACTGATGAGCGACAAATAATTAAATGTTTACTTTAACACGTATTCTTTATTTCTAATACCCTCCTCCATCAACCCTTTCATTTATGCAATACATAATTGATTAATTATTAAAGTATGAAAATTATTTTTTAAAAAATTGAATAAAAAAAAAAACCAAGAATACCATTTGGAAGAGTGAAAATGACTGTAGAATTTGCCTTCATGTTGGATGATGCAGTCATTCAGACTCCAATGACTCTCATTTCTTGCAACTTTTTTGCTACTCTAAAACTAAAATAGAAAATTATTTATACGTTATGAGATAAATTCATGAATATATGTATATATATATATATATATATATATATATATATATGCGGAAAATGTCATATTCACCCTTTTTAAAAATTCCTCAGCACAAATGCGAGCCCTTGCATTCATTGACAATTTCATTTCACTGATTTCCCTATCAATTTCCTCCATGAAGTGAATAACGAAATCAACTATTTTGTGTTTATACATTTGCTCCACGTGGATGTTTGTAATGAGAAAACTGATATCATATCCCTGAAAAATTGTTGTAAATCAGTACAAGTTACCTTTCCTTTTTTCATAATATAGTACAAATAGTTTGAGTTTTACCTTGATTGGCACTCGTCTCAGAATCATAAAATTTTCAGCTCTCATCATCATAAATCTTGTGAATTTGTGGCAGAGAATTTTCTCCAAATCATCAACTTGCTTAACAGCTATACTTATTCTCATGCTATTGATACTAGACTCAATCAGAACTTTTTCTTTATCATTTCTACTTATAATAACTGGAGTTAGTAATAATTCTTTGCTAATTCCAACTTCAATTTCCGGTTTGTTATGTTTTTCAACAACTTGAGATTGAAAATTCTCCATACACATAGCTGCTGTGAGTGTACGTCTCACTGCTGTCAGGTAAGGCTTGAGGGTGCCCGACTGCAAATTCAAATTTATCAATTATTTATGGGCCATTCTCTATCAAGCCAGACAGTCATTTTTCATCATCTCTCGGAGAGTCTCACCAATATTTCAGTGTATTCTGTGACTCAAAAAAAGTATTCCACATTTCTGCCATTAGATTTTATTACCTGATGATAAAAATACCTCATTTCTGCGGTTCTATGCCTTCAAAATAAAATGATAATAAGGGAGAGGAAATAATTTTTTCTTCTTTACTTGGGCACTTTTAATCGTTGTGATATTTTTTGACATCAATTTTCAAGTTCCGATGAAATTACAAAAAAAATGTCAAAGTGAGAAGCGAAAATTCACTAAGACTTTAATTGTTTTATCGTTTCGCTTTCCATTTGGAATTCCATTGTTATTTTTTCTAATCTCCTTGGAGTTTGAAAAATGATGTAAAAAAATATTAATACGATTAAAAGAGTCCAAGTAAAGAAAAAAAAATATTATTTTCCTCTTTTGTTGAGCTAAAACGGCTTTCTTGATGGTTTGCCACCTTTCATCATTTTTCCATCTTAAAGTTGGAAAAAAAATGCAACTTTTTTTTATCAACAAGAAAATCTAATTGCAGAAAGAGAATGAATACCTTGAAAAATTGATGAGATATTCCCAGAGATTATGAAAAATGACTGTCTGGTTTGACAGACAATGTCCCCTATACAAGTTCATTATATCGAACAATAATAATATTCTAAAATATACAGTATAATGGTTCATAACCTCTTTGGTCTGCCGGTGATGTAAATCATTGACTTACCATTTTCTTGATAATAATTTCTTCACACAACTACTAGACACTTTGCAGATGAATAAATGTTTTTATCAATATGAGAAGAGTAATTCATCAAATTTTCGTGGAAATATGATGCGTATTATTTATGAATAGAAAAAAATTGACATGACGATCAATTAATTGAATATGTACAGGAAGAAGAAGAAGGGCTTGGTCGGGTTACTCACTTTGACTCGCTTGCTCTATCATGTGGAGGGATTTCGTTCGTTCGTTTCTTTTTCCACAGTAGAAAAGGAGACTTGCGATCGGTCAAACATGGGGAGTATGAGCAGATTCTGATGGGGTGGATTGGCGGTTAAACAGGGCGTGATATTGCTGATGTCCTCTGAAAAAGTTTTACCAGTCGAATTTTCTAGTGCAGCCGCACATTGAGAGATGGCGGGATTATTCTCATTTCAAGCGGATTACTAACTGAATCAATTGAACTGGAGCAGTAGATTGTCAGCCGGAAACTATGATTGATGGTAAATCACTTGTAATGCATTTTTCAGTGTTTGAGGATTACTTAATGGATTTTTATTTTTAAAAATCTAACGACGTGCTAATTAGAAACAATTGCATAATGACCCATGGAGGAGGATAACAATCACATGAATGGCTAAATTTAAATTCCCGCCATTTTACCCTACCATTCATGAGATTTCTCCAAACGGGAGAAAAATAACAAGTTGTAGTTGTAGAAAAATGCGTAAAATCGGCCCCCAGAGCAGTGTATGTATATTTGATGATTTAGCTTTAATTGTGGGGAAAATATGAGGCAAATTCGAAAAGGGCAGCTATATTGTTGAATTTTATTATGTAAAAAAGTACAAATAGTTTATTTTTCAAATTACTGCATATAAATAGTAAAATACGAATGGCACAAATTCTACGTACATTTGATATAAGACGTAAGAGAACAATTGGCTTAGTGAATATAGGCATATTTTTTTTACTTATATATATATATATATATATATATATTATAAATCAGTCATGGAAGCTTTTAGTTTGTTTTAAGTGAGAAAAGTTTTTAATTTAATAATTTTTAGTCATTGAATGGAGGAATAATTTTGTTTTGTTATTCGCCACATTTTTTCTACTACATATCATGTGGTTCGTTGCAGTAGTCATAAATTGGAACCTCCGGTGGTTCGTCAGTGTTTATTGTAGGCACACAACTCCTCACAGTCGCAACAACAATTAGTGTAACGGCAAATGCAGCAGCGATGTGCCACGAAAATGCAAGTGCAATAATTTCAGTTGCTAATTTGTCAGGCCTAAATGCTCTAACCATATGAGCTATCCATCCACCATGCAGCAGAGTAGTAGCTGCTCTCAAAAGCTTAAGATCTGGCCAAATCAATTCTGCACCGACGGTAAATGCAGTTGTCCAGACGATTCCTGCGAGAATTCCACTGGCAATAGTTGAGTCTGGACTTGCCCAAACAAATAAAAATCCCTCAACGAAGAAACTTTGAGCTAGGGCTAAATTTGCAAGCCCTTTCGTTATATTACGAGGAAAATAAAATGTCAAGACGTCAATGAGGCCAGAGAATGCGAAGAACAAGTAAATTGTTGCATGGACAACTTTTGGAGAAACGATTACTGGGAAGACATTGGGAAGACCTCCCACCATTGTGCCAATCAAACCGATAGCGGTTGCTATTAATTTGAGGCTACCCTCGATTGGATGATTTGTAAATAGTTTTTCACATTTCCGCACAACTTTTCGAGACTTTGAAGAACCCATTTCTTCGGATCTTCTTGGAGTTTCCCAGAACTTGGCATACTCACAGCACCATTTCAAGCCAAAAATGTAGAAAATACTGCCTATTAAAATATGTGGAATCAAATCGTCTTCCATTTTTATTGTTTTGTAGATAAGTAATCTTCATCCAAAAGGTGGGAAATTATCTTCACCTAAAAAAGTACAAGTCTGTATAAATATTTCTTTCAGGGAAGAATTGTAAAATTTCATCTCAAACGTCATTCAAGAGGTTATGTTGTGCTAAGTTTAATAAGCCTGTAGCGTAAGCTCTATTCCATTTGGAAAGAAAATAATGCAATAGACACTTACTACTTTGTGGCATGATTCAATAAAACATTACGTAGTTATTGTAGATAAATTTGAAATTTAAAAAAAAAAACAATGATCCAGCATCCAAAACTATAATAACGAGTCATTACCATTAGGGTATTCTAAAGCCAGGAAAACAAGCAAAAACAAGGGAGAAAAAAGTTCATTCGAGTACCTGAAGGTGGCGGTCAGATCAATTTGCTGTTGTTCCCCCCCTCCCCTCCCCATTACTATTGCTCTGCTGGTGGGAACGTATTTATTATTTCCTAACAAAAGACAGCTATCAGGACCAAGGATTTATATTGTACAATCTGGTACAATGACAATTGCAACCATCGCCCGTTGAGAACATTCACTCACAAGATAACTTGAAACTTATCATCGATGGGTAAAATAAACATGATTCTTCAGCGAATTTAGTTAACAATCATACATAAAACTAGAGTACATATTGATCAAAGACTATACTATTAGTGTAAAAACATGAGATTAATTATAAAGACTGTAAAGAGGAACAGGACAAAGTGGATTTCTAAGTGAGAATTTTTCCCTGTATCTCGAGTGAAACTCTTGAAGATGTTAAATTTTAAAATTTTTCACAATTTTTCAACAATAAATCTTGGGCAGTAACGGCTAATTTTCCGATAATCAATTTTTTCTGTAAAAATAACCAGCCGCCTCCATAAAAACCTCCATCATTTTCCAATCATCAAATTGATCTCTGTATCATATATGGTACGTTATATTAGGTATGTTTATATATCATTGTACTAATTCGCTAGAGTGTGCCCGCATGTAAATGGTCTTTTGCTTTATCTAGTTATAAAGAGTTTTTTTCTTTTTTCTTTTTTTTTTTCATTTTAGCCAGATGTATATGGTTTTCTATATGTTCAGGAGTATCCTCAATCTCCTCAGTCTTCAGAGACCATTTGGTCCACGTGAATGTGTGCATTGAGAGTATACACGGTGCGCTTGGCCAAGAAGTAGACAATTCACAATTAGCAAACATAAACAACAAAGTATAAGTGGCTTGAAAGCTGACTGATATGAGCGTCTGCCTGCTCGTGCACGGCCTATATAGAATATATTACATGAAAACACATATACTATTGTTTTTCGTCGTTTCGGTCCATGTTTTTCTCCACAGACTCGAAAATGATAGTCAACTTTTGAGTTTTTTCTTCTCAATTTAGGTATAGTAGTTAGTATTGTCATTTTTTAAATCAATTTTTCAATTTGACGCTTCAATTTTTTTATCACTGATGATTCAGCGGATAGGTAAGTATATACGTATATGGCTGTAGGTGGAAATATACAAGACGCATGGAGTCTCTTCTTGCCCGTTCCGCTGGAACACTTGAAACCTCACCCCAACCAGTTGCGGCAACAATGGGCTTTGTCTTCGCACCGTCGGCGCTCACAAATTGGTAGAAATCTTGATTAAAGGTGCAATTTCACTGGTGCCTTTGGACAAATTTCAATAGCACTCATACACGACCATTCCGTATTTTTCGACTCTTTCCACACAATTATTACTGTCAGTTGAGATTTTACAATAGCTGAAAGATCCATGAATAATTGGATAATTTTTTAAGACAAGATTATGCTTGCGCATAATATGTACAACTCATAATTTTTAACATTTTCAGAGGAAAGATGAAGATAAATATGATGCGTAAATTGCATTTTGAGAAATAACAAGGTAAAATTTTTAAATAATGAACCATAATTTTAGTGTTATCATTTCTCATTTTTGCCGTCTCTCGTCGTTTCGCACTTTAACTATTTCAAACCCGTCAGTTTTTTTTTTTTTGCGTCCCATCGTCACAAATGATCACCGGGAGCTGCTGGTTCTGCCACGATTGGCGAGGGGTTTTGTCCCCCTCTTCAGCTGTGAGATTGGGGTGAGGAATGGGGTGCATTGATGCCATTGGTTGAATGCGGTTCCAACTAGGCAGTTGAGGTGACGCCTCATTCGCCAACATATGACAACAGTCGTTCTCCCCCTCCCCCTGGCGCACGAATCTGTCACTCATCCTACAGTGTTCTTTTGAAAGATTCATTTCCCTGATTTTCGGCAAGTATATGTTTTTACAAAAAGAAAAAAAATAATAGTAAAGTGATTCTTCTTCTTTTTCTTCTTCTTCTTCTTCTTCTTCAAAAAATATTCCAACTCCAACTCAATGGAATATGTTGTTCCAATGTGTACACCATGAATTATCACTTGATTCTCAACCTTGGAATTGTCAATGTAATGGAATATATATACTATAACATGAATTAATGCATCAATTTTTTTGTTTCTCTCAGCTTTATCAGCAAAGTGGTTCAAGCACCGTGGGCTATAGCACCCAGGAAAATGTGAGTCCCCAAAGGGGCGTGGCTGCAGGCTCACTTATGCCTCAAGCCACGCCTTCTTGGTGGTAATCGTGTGGGGGTACATCTATACCCCACTATCCATCCAAGCCTGACCGGATTGTGTTGTTCCTCTCTGCTCCCCGTTTTCTCTTCGTCCTAGTCGGGCTTTGAGCCAAAGGTTCAACTAGGACATACGCATTTTTACCGAGCAAATATCAAAACTTACCACGGAACTTAAATTTGTCTGGTTAATCATGGAACAATTGAGAGTATTGACGTGAAAAAGCAATTAATTAAGAGCTCTCATATTTTATTCTTCAATATTGAAAAATGATTATTTAATAAACAAGAATAGTTGAAAAATTGTGAGCGACGGCAGTATAAACCGTGTGAATATCGAGTTGTGACTAATTTTGTTGTCGTTTTTTTTTTTTTTTTCATTTTTTTAATACTGTGTAATTCTAACAACATATGGCCTCGGGAGGGGCTCTAATAATTCTATTTAACAAAAAAAAAATCCACGTTCTGAAAATACTTGACGTATTTGATGATGAGACTTTGGACTAGGGCGACAGTGATAATATTCAGAATTAAAATGAAAAAAGTTTGAAGTAATGAAGTGTCGCAATTTTCTTCTCTGGTGACGGCATATATCATAATAATGACAATATTTCGTGGGTGTACTGTGGAGAGTTTTGTTACTGAAAAATTTGGGGAGAAATATTTCAAATTTTGGTAAGTACTTGTTCATTTCATATAATCCACTTATCAAAAAATTTTCTAGCACGGTAAACTAACGGGGTTCATCTTATCTGCCACTACAAAATTTCTGGTACCAACAATAAGAGAAATTCCTCATAGTGCTTAGATATATATTATAGGATATATATGCAATAATTTTTCGTAATCATAATTAAGAATCGAACACATTTTTTTTGTTTCCATAAATTGGTGTTTTTTATAATCACGCATCTATAGCAATAAATATAATGATTAACGTCATTCTTGATCAGTTGAAATAAAAAAACAAACTATCAGCCACTCGATTGGTAAACATCTCTGAACCCTTTTTATATACCTACATATTGCGAAACCCTTATTCATCCTGCCCAAGTAAAAGTACTTGAGCCAAAAGCCCCGAGCAACTTACAATTTAAAACGCACGCTCTCTCCCCAACAATAGAAATCCATAGGTGAATAAATAGGTCTTTCTTTTCCTCTCTCCTCCATGTGGCTCCTCTAAATACATTATTTAACACATGGTGTGAATATATGTGAATGTATTGATTACTTGCAAGAAAAAATACGGAGAGTATGAAATAATAGAAGCCCATTTGTTTTTTTTTGTTCCCACTCGGGAGTTGAATGAGCTCTTCAGTATTTCAAAATGTTTGCTAAATATTGAATGAGAAGGAGGTGTTCTTCTCAATTGTTCTTCTATATATGTTCCATTTGCATTTGTTAAAAACTGAGTAGTATTGTTGATGGTATATTAGTTAAGAATGAAAATTTTAATCGAAATTACTTTTTATATTCAATGATAGTTGAAGTAATTGTTTTTAACCATCAGTAAAATGGTCTTTTAATAATGAGGTTATGCTTTCGTCTGTGATACAATTGTTGTTTCATTGATTTAGAAAAATCTGTATAATCAGTGAATGATCCTTTTTTCTGGACATGTATATAGTGGGTGAGTAAGTATACAAACCCATAATGATGTTAGTGGGTAGATTCGGAACTTGGACTCATTGCGCATTGGTAATTTGTATCCCACAACGATTTACATGCACTGAGTGTATCCGCAGAGTTTTGCGAGCGACAGTGGGTGTGCACCGGTTGCTAATTTGTAGACGCCAGATATACGATAGCAGCCAAACGGCAGTCGTCGGGGCGAGTCCGTACCAACTAATTTGTTTGTCATAAGTTTATCGTTATTTATAACCTGAGCCATGTAATACTCGTGCGCCTCAACGCCTCCCTCGTATATCGATATCACCATCTCAATTTCCTCGTGTTCCCTCGCCCCAGCACACATTTCTTGATCTATCAATACAACCAGATTACATATACATACATAATAATGAATAAGTTTTCTCTGCTTTCAAAGATACGATACAAATGCGCTTGTATAAAAAGTAAGAAAGCATAATGAATTATTTGGATTGAATAATATCACTGTTACAAAATATATTCTCAATGAACTGAGCCAGTAGATAGCCTGCGGGTATATGTATAGATACATCTGTGTGTGCGGAATATCGTACGTATCCGGTTGAAAAGATTTCACATGATAACGAGAAATACGAAAGCTGCGCGAGGCAATGGAATAGAGTATATATGCGTCGGATAAATTAAGTGGCCTGACGCGCGGGTGAATCCAACATTATGTATGGCTCAACGACCGACAAGGGCAGGTGCGTTTGAATAACAAACGTGTTAAGAACATTCACTCGTAAAACATTATCTTACATTCACAGGTAAATGTGAATGCCTTTTATTTATTCTGCGCGTTATTTTTTCCACAACAAAATATTTGTCAAATTTCAACAATACTGATATAATCAATGTGTAAATTGGTTTCGATGAATCAACCTGACGATTATTTTGATCCCCCCCTCCTCCCCCCTCTTTCCAGAAGTGATATGACGCTTGTTTATACACCTTGTGGTATAAATTAGCTTTTTCATTATCCCGCCACGTGCTGACTTGAAAATTTTGTTATATCCATTTCCTGGTAGCTATCA